GGACAAGGACAAGAGAAACAGAGGATGTTTTGTTCATTCTATACGACATCCATCCACTCTCTCTGTCTCTCTCTTTCTCTTTCTCTTTCTCTATAGGGTTCTTCTTCTCTTATCAAAAATATGGCCTCTCTCTCTCTCTTTCTCTCTCTATATCTCTCTCTCAAGCTTATTAAAAATCTTTCCTTTTTTATTTTGTGTAATGCTTTCTTAATTGATTTACCAAATCCATTAAGAAGGATTCCTTTTTTTTTTTTTTTCTTCAGGCCAAAGATGGTAAAAGAGAGAACAACAACAACAGTCACATATAATAATAGGGGGGAAGAATTTGAGATTTGCTTCTCTCTTTTGGTGTAAGAAATCTTATTTTAGAGTTGTTAGACTTAGAGGGAGGCCCTAAAGACAGATGATGGAAGATGATACCTCCTTTTTATTTTAAATTTATATTTTCCCACAAATATATTGATCTCAATAATTCACTTTCGAACCATAATGTATTTGCAAAAAACAATTAAAAAAAAAAATTCGCTCTTCTTGTCGATTTAATTCAATTATGGAGTCACTAAAAAATTCAAGTCACAGAAAAAAACTTTTAGATGTCAACGTCAGTAACACAACTTTTCTAAATGCTAATTAACATGAACAGAAGAAAATGTCCCGTTTATTTGAAGCCATATTTTTTTTTACAAACACTAATTTCATTGTCTACTTTTGTTCTTCTAAACTTTAAGTTTGTAGCTGAATTTTTAATTTTATGAAGATTGTCTTCTAAAGCTTTATTTCCAAATTATATATTTTTTGTGTACTCATAAAAATCAATTATTTATGTCTCCTATATGTTGCTACATTTAACTTTCTATTGTACAAATTTCTTAGGTTGAAAATTTGATTTGATATATTAATAATACAAAAAAAATTGAGATTGTTTAGAGATTTCTCTATTCTAATTTTAAGATTTATTTAAATTATATTATACTAGAATTATAGAAATTTTTTTTTACATTAATATCGAACCATAAACATACATTTTCTTTTACTTGAAGAACATAATAAGTAAAAAGAAATTTAAAAAAGATCTGCTAAAAAACTCTGCACATTATTCCTTGCTTTGGAAACAAACTAAGTTTAAACTTTATGCATATATTTAATTTTATATTATTTACTTTAAAATTGAAAGATTTTATGACATAATTTGTAGTTTAATGATTTATATTAGTTTCGTCAACATGTCGTATGAGTTTAAATAGTAATGTGTTAGTGAAAAATATAGACAAATGAAAGAATTAATCGGTTGATCCGGTCACCCCAGGTAGAAACACATCGAAATGTTTTAGAGTGGATTTCTCTCCGAAGAACCACCATATTGTTTTTCCCGAATTTAGAATGTTTTCCGACTAATACTAAGGAATAGTCAAATCGCATGTTACTGTACTATCACATAAACTGCTTGGATCAATTGGCATAAGCCTAGACTTCTCGTGTAGATGTATTTTTGTTTCCACAATTTTCATCGTTTTCTGTTAACAACATCACTAGATTCACTACACATTCTACCTAAGATAATACATTTTAATAAAACTAATATGTTATTCTACGGGAACCCATTATCAGAATATTTTGCCTACGTTTTTTTTTTCTCATATTTGATATTTCTGCGTTGACATAATTTTAAAATTGGGTACTCGATGCTATCTATTTAATATCACAAAGATAGAATCATATGCCCTACATGAAAATAAAATAATATTTTTGCATCAAGTTTACTCATTTTATATTCTGTTCCATATTGACATTTTATCTTTAACTATAAGCACAAATATTATGTTGTGTGGTGTCTTTTTTCATCCTCTCTTATGTGGGCATATTTCTATATGATGCATAAAACAATGGAAAAAATATCATTTAAATCATCAGTTTACCATTTTTGTTGGTTTAAAGCATGAATTCTAGACTTTGTGATTTAAATCCTCAATTTTATGTGGACCTGGTGATTTAAATCTTTAATTTTATGTTGACTTTCAATTTAATTACGAATTCTCGGTGACTAAGCCAATTGAGACACATCATTAACTGGCTAAACGGAATAATCAGACGAAGAGGAAGATGGAAACCATGTTGGTGTAGAAGAAAAATTATTTGATGGCTTCGAAATGCCAATTATGCGATGACATCGTCTTATTGATCCGTTTAGCCATTTAGCAATGTGTCTCAATTGGCTTTGTCATTGAGAATTCATGATTAAAATAAAAATCAACATAAAATTAAAGATTTAAATCACCAGGTTTAGAGTTCATGATTTAAACCAACGAAATGATAAACTGATGATTTAAATGATATTTTTTTCCTAATACAATACTATAGTTTTCTTTTATAACAAAAAAGAAGTTTTCAAATTATCAGACGGAGAATATAGGATCTGTAGACAGCTGAGCTTGTCTTGTGTAGAGGAAAAAGTCTACCCCTAATGTTCTTTTTGGCCATAATGATGTTTATGAGTATCCAAGGGTTGCATTATATCCATTAATTAATTTGTAGACGGCCAATAATATAATGAGTGACTTACACTTTGCCATACATTCTGTGAGTTTTGTATCAAAAAAGACACTTTTCAAGTTTTTCAAGTTTTTTCAACTGTACAACAATATTCAATACCACTTTGCCCCTGCACGTGGCATTACTCGTGAAGGATACTGATTGTATGGGAAATATTTAGTTGGCTTTACCTAGTTAGAGTGCATATATCTTTATTCATCCAAACATATTCACGTCACTTCTCTTTCCCTCATTCTTTTTTTTTTTCCTTTCTCATTTTATTCTTATTATCATTTTAGTTACTTAATATGACATATATTATTTATTTTTATATATAATAAATTAAGATTTAATTTTCCCTACATTTTAAGATCCATTGTAGCTATATTAGAAGTGAATAATTGTATTACATATTATCTATTTCTAATTGAACATTTGTTTATAACTAAATGGATATTCAAAGGTACTTGAACAAATATACTACACCAAAATTTATAACTACTGATCATCCAAACATATCTGTTAAACTCTGACCACATGGACGAATAAAGATAAGGTTTTTCGGTGTAATATACATCTGCCAAACTCTGATCAAGTGTTTGTTGTAACAACACCAAACACGTCGTGGTGTGTAAGTAACTTCGTTTAAATGAATAACACTAAACCCTAACATCTACCTTATAAATCCAAACCGATATGCTATTTTAAAAAAATTTATAACACTAAACCCTAACTCCTACCTTATAAACCCAAACTAATATGTAAATTTGTTTAAATTTATAACACTAAACTCTAACTTCCTTCCCTAAAATCATCACCCATAAACCCTAAAACACTTAACTAAAACCTAAACACTAAACACTTAACCATTAACATAATCTATCCACATGGAAGTGACCATAAGAATAGGGAAATATTCAGTCAAATTAACACTAAAATAGGACATAAAAAACTGTCCATATGAAACTTACGATGGGAGTAAGTTCCCACTACCATTCTTGTTCTATGTGTTCGAAAAAAAAAAGAAAGTGATTGGTACCACTTGGTCTATGAAAATGACATTTACTTCGAACTTATTGTTGTCGTCCACAAAACCATGTACAAATGATATAATCTATACGAACAAATATTTGACCAAAATTTAAATAACGATTATACAATTATTATCTTTCAAATACCAACACCATAATTGCTTCCGTCTCTTAGTTCTCAACTCAAGAAAAAAAAAAGATAATTGTCGAACTAAAGCACTGCTTACCAAGGAAGTAGTTGAAACCGCCACAAGAATTGGTATAGATGGATGTGTGAACATGTGGATGTGGTGCTATGACCATTTTAGGAGACGTGGTGCTATGGCCGCGATCATGTGAACATGTGGATGTGGTGCTATGACCACAAAAGAGTTTCTCCTAAGCCACAAAGACTATAAAACACACACAACTACTTGAGTCTGTGAGGAGGTAGCAAAGAAATCAACAGATTGCGGACGAGAGGATAAACCGAGAGCAACGAAAACGGCGACGGAGAGGATAAAGAAGTTCATCGTCTTTTTCCTCAGTCAGTGTTACTACGTAGCGTCCATCTTTAGCTAACCATTCGTTCACTACCATCATTATAATTTTTAAGTTCAGTTCCTCTTCTTCTATAAGTTCAGTTCCTCTTCTCCATTTTAGATACTCTTTGATATGAAATTTGGAATCTGTTGTCTTTATGATTTGTAGACTAATAGTGAAGAAGCAAATTGAAAGTAGCACACTGCTCTTTATGGCCAATAATTTTTCAAGCGACGTGCATAAAGAAAAACAATTTCTAAAACAAACAGAGTGATTTGTAACATTGAGAACGAGAAGACAAAATGGATCAGAAAGGTTTTATCATTATCAATGAAGATAGATTCATAGAAAGAAATGAAAATTCGAGTACAAGCTGATCCATCACCTTGTGTAAGAAAGAAATGAAAATTCGACTTTTCAAATCGAATTTGTCCCATATATTTATGGTGTAATATATAACATGTTTTGTAATACCAATTCTGCGTTAAAAAATTGGTTTTAAAACCGCCACAATTTTGTACATTAAAACCCACGACACAAACTTCCACACTCTGCGTTAAAAAAAAACAACTTCTACTCTTTTTGCCTGTTATATCTATCTATTAGTTCATATCCATTTAATAAAATTGACTCCAATTATTTTAGCCATCCATTTGTTCAATGCAACCACGAACAGACTTTCGTCTCCTCTCTCCAGTTAACTATTGTAGCAGGCTTGTCCCATAAGAAAAGATTATATCAAACTCTCTCGGATAAAAACCAAAATCCAGTGGAAGAGACTAGTAAAATGGTTGCACCACTCCTTTTCCATAAAAATACACATGAATTTTGTCATCCTTTTACAATCACACACATGATTTTTGTTTTATTTTTACAGGCCAATATTATTGAATGTACAAAATATATGAACATTTCGAAGAGAACAATTGTTCACAATGTGATTGATGTTATGGTTTCTAATGAACATAATTCAGACATGGAGAAGACTATAATAAAAAAGACAAGATCAAGATAAAAACAATTAATCTAAACCCAATTCATCAAATTATCGTTCAAGCCGACGGCCAAGACGTCGGTGTTAATGTGCTGGAGAAGCTTGAACAAAACACCGGGGAGAAGATTCGCCATCTCCATAGCGCATCCAACATCAATCTTGTAGTTTGTTCATGAAACTCAGCTTTTTCGTAATCTCTCATAATCAAAATGAAAAGAGATTCTTTAGAAACGATTCCTTCATCTTTCATGTGACGATAACCCTTTTGAGAATCGGTTCATGAGAACCCAGCCTTTTGATTCTTCATTGCCTGAAGTTTCTTCCTCGGAGATGTTTTTCCTAACGACATATTCGCAACAAACAAAAGCGTCATTATCCATTGTTGATTATCCAATAGGTATAGTTCATGGGTTGACCTTGTACTCTATCGATAACATCAAAGTAGTAAACTTCAGACAAATTATGTGAATAATGGATGAACATTATCACATAATTATGAACAAGATCTCCAAGCACATAATAATTTTTTGTAAACAAAGCCATTAATCTGTAGTTTAATCTGAGAAAACGACCACATAGAAGTTCCAAATCAAACCTAAAGAGAAATATATCCCAATCAAAAAAATTTTAGTAGCTAGTACTCTCCACCAGCAAAATCAACCTATCCAGATACTTTTGAAACTTGTCTAATCTGAAAAAATAACCAATTAGCTTCTCTACAAAAGTTGCTATTGATCCTGGAAAATAAAAATTGAAAATCAGAATTAGAAGTTCCAAATTCAGAAAAAAAACGCCTAGTATCAGATATGTGAATATCTTAATCGCCAAGTTCTAGTAACAACCACAAGCACAAAATCGATTTCAAAAGGAACCTGATCTGAAGCTAGACATCCAATAGAACAAATCTTCAAAATACCCATAAACAAACACTGCAAAAAGCGGTCGAACGGCGATGGTTTTCAATTAAAGGTTGGGTTTCGTTTTCTTCTTTTATTTTCTCTTTTTTGACTTTTGGTGAATTTGATTTTTTATTAAAAAACTAAATGAGATAAAAGGTGAAAAAGAAACGTATAAATAATTGAGAAGATTAGAAGAGAAAGTTTTGTTAGGTGTTGTCAGAAAAAGTGTAGAAAGAGAAAAGGGTATAAAAGACTTAACATACACAAAGAAATGTATGAGAAGCAAAAAGTGTGTTAAAATGTAAGAGAAACTTAAAAAGTGTGTGTAGTTGTAAATAACTCTAATATAATTCATATTTGGCATTCAATGGCCTCATTGATCTCATAAATAAGTCATTTGTTTTATAAGAAGGTAATATTAATTTGCGAAAAAAAAGAAGAAAAAAATGTAATACGAGTTTATAGTACTTTTAAAATTATATTAATTTTGCAAAACATCTTAGTCTATCTCAGAATACTTTTTGTATAAGCAGGTAATCATATGCCGAATTCTTAACTAATCTCAAACATAGAAAATCGTAGAATATCTTTGTTTTTGAAATGTTTAACGTCATCAAATAGAAAAATGCAAATTGAAGAGAATTCACTCCAAAAGGTCTCCAGCACTTTGAGTACAAGATCACCAATCTTCGATGTAAATGCCATATATTGTGAACTTAAAATAATTCAAAATCTAAGAGCATCTCCAAAGGGGATTTTCTTCTCTTAAATATAGGGTTCTTTGCTTTAATGGTAATAAAAATAAATGAAAACACACAATTATCTAAAGAACCGGCTCTGTGGACAGAGTTTTGAGAACCAGAGAGAGACGCATACGTGTCAATCCCTGATGATTTTTAACAAAAAAAAAACGCGTTCTGTTTCTCTCTTCATCGTAAAGTTTTTTCTCGACTCTCTTTCTCTTTATCATCTCTTGCCGGATGCGATTCACCTGAGATTTCCTTGAATCCGTTTATTGCTCTTTGCGATGGCTCTTATCCTGATTCACCAACCGTCTCTTTAATTCCCGATAGCCATGGCTCTTCTCCTCACACGATTATTCCGATTTCGTCTGAGGGAGCTAAATTGATCGATTTCGTGCTAAACGTTGTTAGAAAAGAAGCTGAGAATTGCGACTGCTTACAAGGTAAGACTCACTCACTCTCCATTTCCATGTTTCGTTATCAATCGAGCTTAATTCAGTTTTTTTCGCCTTTTAATTTTGTCAATTCGAAGTGTTTAGAGTTGTGGATTTGATGTTCTTGTTATTGATTCAAACGTTTGACCAAATTATGTTTGGTAGTGTATGATGAGAAACATACAGATCTATTAATTATGGGACTTTGGCATTGAGATGATTAGATTTTTGATTGTCAATGGGAATACTAAATTGTATCTTTCATAAACATCGTTGGCTCCTAATCTTATGTTAGTTCCACTAATCTCTCTCACCTCATTGCCACCAATTCTCATCATCTCATCATCCATTGCTTCAATGGCTTATGTTTCTGGAATCAAAGTGAGAGTCAAAGTGATGATCTTTGTTGCTTCAATGGCTTATGTCTATGGAATCCAATCTTGAGTGATGAAGAGTATGATAAGCTCAAACTGAAACTAAAGACATAGAAGTTGGTAGGAATCTTGGAAACTGGATTCTTCGTTGGCTTGATCGGATGAAACCAGCAGCTCAGATCCGTACTCGACCATTCTGGTGATGGTTTTGGCCGCCCCGAAGACATTTCTGATCAGCGGTGTGATCATGGTTCTTGGATTATGCTTGTACCCATTCTTAACACTCGTTAAGGAGAACCTGAGTTGAAATATGTAAAAACCTGAGTAAATTCATTCAGTTTTGTTGATCTCTGTCCAAACTTTCTAATTCCAGTTCTTGAGTTTTACACAGTTGCACCTTTGCCAAGTCGCTTTAGGTTTCTTGCGTCGACATCTTCTGTGCTTATCTCATTGCATATTGGACATTTTGGAGGCATGTTTTTACCATATAATGATTCTGCAGCTTTTGGTTATTAAACTCAAAGCAAAACCTAACTTAAACTACAAATGGCTACATCACTCATTACTCATTACTTGCTACTATTATGTAATGAACGTGATTCGAAACATCAAGCTCAAATCAAAATCCAAATATGACAAGTATTTGATGTATTTCTTGCTCAAATATATGACAATTTTTTGCTCAAATCAACATATGTGATAACACATGAATCTCTATTTTGCATTTAACAAGTATTTAATTTAATTCTTTGTTTTGTCAATACACTAAACACCTATTACACCAATTACTTTGTCTCAATACACAAAATTAAATACATTTAAACCAAATTTTTTTTTTTTTTTCCAAAGAACCCCCATTAGAGAGCCTACCATTGGACTATGAAAAATTAAACAAAAAAACAAAAATTCTCATCTAACATTTTTTCAAAATTTATATTAAACAACTTGAGAGAGTCTCATGGTGAGAACTCCCCATTGAAGATGCTCTAAGTACACCAAACTAAAATAGTGAACCCACCCTTTTTCTTGGTCAAATGTTTGATCAAAATTATGATGATGGTATGTGTGGTTATGTGAACGGGACAACATCTTTTTGAACTTTGAAAATTTCCATGCAAACTTTTCCGTTTCTAGATTATTGTAGAGTTTTTAAAATACCAAAAAAAACAATGGTCGAGTTTACCCTAATTACTTCGGTTAATCTATAGATTAAAGTTAATATGTAAAAATGAAAAGACTATATGAGTTTTATTTTAATAACTCTAAAATCTCTCTTAATCACATAATTTTAAATAGTTACGATACATTTTATGTTGCTTTATCAGTTTACCGAGTTGCCCACTTTCGTATTAATATCATTCGAACTATTGGTTTTATCCAAAAAAAAAAAAACTAATGGTTTTTTAATTTTTATCAAAACATGGATTACTAAGAGCAAACGCAGTGGCACACTTGTTACTCGGGTGTTAGTTATAAACAATTGAGAAGTATTGCAAAAGTTACCTTTTCAACAAAAATTGGGTGTAGACTTACACTCAAGTGTGAGATATTATAAAAATAGAAAAAAATTTCTTCTCTCTATCTCTCTCTATCTCTCTCTCTCTTTTTTCTTTTTCTCTTTTAATTATAACAATAAACAATTACTTACATCCACAATTACACATGCTCCACTGCGTTTGCTCTAACATTAATTTTAAAAGGTATGAAACAATGAATGGTATGGAAAATAGTTCTGTAGTTTTATTCAGAAACGACATTGAGAGAGATACACATGACTCTTTTAAGTTATTTCTTCTTATCTTTTTACACATTTTGGAAGTTTTACAACCAAAGAAACATGAAATTTATATTATTTTTTTGTTTTTTGAAAAATTCTTTAACAAGATTTGAGGTGGACCAACTTGGATCCAGAATGTCACCATTATAAATCCTAACTGTTTGTTATCCACGAAAATAAAATAATAAAACACAACCACTACCCCACAAGATAAACCAATAGCTTAAATTTTAACAAAAAAAAAATTCGATTCAATTCCCACATACAATTTGGCAGGTAATACCCATTTTTATCTAATTTAACTCAAGGGCCTAGGCCCATTTAAACCAACGTAAGAAACTGAGAACGCCTCAAGCTTCACACATATATCCTTTATATAATGCAGAATCACAGAGTATCAAGTATCAACTTCATTATCACCGATCAAATTAAGGTTTCTTTGTTACAGAGGTTCTCTGTTGATAATGTTTGGAGCAAAAAAAAAATACTCCGCGACCAAAATATAAAACAAGAAACAAACTCTAATGTCATAACGATGATATTAAGAAGCAGCTACACCTAGTCCTTGACTTGGACCACATGATTGTCCACACGGTTCTTGTTTCGGACCTTTCTAATCACTCGATTCTTGTGGTTGATGAGCTTAGAGTGATAATTGTGGATGATACGGTAGATATTTGGCCTCATGACAAGAGAAACTTGTTACAGATCACCAAATACATATATTTCAGCGTCGCGGTCAGTATTGATAAAAGGTGGAGATCTTACGCAGAAGTTAAGAGAGACGAGAGTCTAAGTAATGGATCATTGGCAAATGTTCTGAAATTCCTAGTATATGTTCACAAAAGATACGAAAAGAAGTTAGATTCTAAAGACTTGAGGCTGTTGATACCTGATCCTTATCAACAATACTGCTTCTGACTGATTCAATGCTACTACACTCTTAAGTCTTAAAGCTACTAAGAGATTTAGGATGTTTCTGGTTCCGACAACTCTCTAAACAAGTTCATTTAGTGATTTAGATCAAACTTATTATTTTATTTTATATAATTTGACAAATGTCCATGAGAAAAAAAAAAACAAGGTTTGTTTTACATCTATTTGTTTTTTTGTCAACTTTAACGTTTGTGGTTGCTTTACAAATTGATAAAACTAAATAAAGGAGAAAAACAAAAGAAGAAGAAGAAAATAAATTATATAAAAAGAAAAATGGGGAAAACAAAGAATGAAGAGAGAGGTGTGAAGTCAATTTCGTTCTTTCTTCTTTCACTACAATCTTCACTAACACAGAGACCAAAATCTCTCTCAATTCGCCATCGCCATCGCCATCGCCATAGCTGAGAGCTTCTTCTCCTTACTTTCCTTTGTTTTTCTACCCTTGCGATTCTCTGAAATGAACCCTCAAGCTAATGACCGGAAGGAGTTTCATGGTGATTGCTCGGCGACCGGAGATCTCATGGCAAAGCACGATTCAGCTGGAGGAGGAGGAAATGGAGGTGGAGGGGCTAGGTATAAGCTGATGTCACCGGCGAAGCTTCCGATCTCGAGGTCCACTGATATCACGATTCCTCCTGGGTTGAGTCCGACTTCGTTTTTGGAATCTCCTGTTTTCATCTCCAACATCAAGGTTTAAGCAGCTACTCTACTCTCTTTTTCTTCTTCGATTATGGTTAATGCAATCACAGTTTCACCTCATCTGTGGTGTCGATTTGAGAAATTAGGTTTTCTGATTGCATTTTATTTTAGACCTAAAGGATTTTTTTTTTCTTCATGAAACTGGATTGTGCCATTTTGCAACTGAGTTTGGAATTGGAATTGGATTCAGAACATTGACATTTTTGTCCCACTTGTTCGGTTTCTCGTTGCTTCAATTCCGATTCGGATCACTGTTCATGCTTGTGGTTAAAGTGGAGCAAATGATTCTTCTAGAGTGTTTCGTAGTGGGGAATTTCTGGGATTACTTAACTGGGTTCTATAATTTGGTGGAGATGCTTTCTGCTTGCTCACTAGGAAAAACATTGGACTTGAGTTTCCATTTTTGTTTCTTAATCCATTACAAGTGATTTAAAAACTTTGATTTGTTTGCTTACGTTAGGGACTTTGGCCAAGATTCTGATTCTTTGTGTTACTATACTCTGCATTGGTTTGTATTTGTGTCCGTTCAGATTGTTCTTTGGAATAAACCTTTTTTTTTCTTTTTTTTTTTTATCATGTTCTCTTGGTGCTGGATAGTTTATTTATATCCTCTTTGCTCTTTGTCGTTTCTTCTTCATATTGTCTATCTTTCTTTTGTTTGGTGCTTCTCTTTCCTTTTTCCATTCTTTGTACATTAGGTTTCGGTTAGCTGCGTCTGTGTGGGGATTCCTTTTACTTATATGAGCTATTGAATGATTCTGTTGGTGAGAAAAAGTACTTTACTCGCATGTTCACCATTTAGAGCTATAGAGTAATCGTTTTATCCAAATATCAAAGTGATGAATAATAGGTTATATGCTATGCTCAATTGTATTTTGCATCTCTTTGTTACATCTTCTTATCCCTTGATTGAACAAGAATTTATTTGCTTTTGTTTTTAAAAGACTGGTCTCTTTAAATACATCATGTTTATTGATAGATCAGGTTCAGGTTTTACAAAATCCGATTTGTATTATGTTTTATTCATGCCATTGATAATATGCCAACTTTCTTTAACTTTCAGCCAGAACCTTCCCCTACTACTGGTTCTTTGTTCAAGCCTCGACCAGTGCACATTTCTGCTAGCTCAAGTTCTTATACAGGCAGGGCGTTCCATCAGAACACCTTTACTGAGCAGAAGTCCAGTGAATTTGAGTTCAGACCTCCTGCATCCAATATGGTATTTTCCAAAACAGTGCTGTTTCTAATGCTTAGCATGTAATGTACTGTTCAGAGAGTAGACAACATATGAACTCCGAAATGTGGCTGAACCTTCTACACAAATTCTGTTTATTCAGCACTTTGTTGCTTGAGACATCTCAAAATCTTTCTCCTTTGCATACATATAATTGCATGCCACTCTTAAGTTTGTTTCATAAGGAGCCTTGTATCCAAAACCTCACAGTTCTTAAGTTCCTTGTATATTGTTGGGGGATGACTTTGTCTAAACATCTTTATTGATTTCAAGGTTTATGCAGAGCTTGGCAATCATAGAAGTGAGCCACCGGTACAATTTCAAGGCCAGGGCCATGGATCCTCACACTCACCTTCTTCACTCAGTGATGCTGCAGGTTCCTCAAGTGAGCTAAGCCGGCCAACTCCTCCTCGTCAGATGACACCAACGAGCTCAGATATTCCGGCTGGATCTGATCAAGAGGAATCAATCCAGACTTCCCAAAATGACCCCAGAGGAAGCACACCATCCATCTTGGCTGATGACGGTTATAACTGGAGAAAATATGGTCAAAAACATGTCAAAGGGAGTGAATTTCCCCGGAGCTATTATAAATGTACACATCCTAATTGTGAAGTGAAAAAGTTATTTGAAAGATCTCATGATGGGCAGATCACCGATATTATATACAAGGGTACACATGACCATCCTAAACCTCAACCTGGTCGCCGAAACTCTGGTGGTCTTGGTATGGCTGCACAAGAAGAAAGGCTAGACAAGTATCCTTCTTCAACTGGCCGAGATGGTAAGCATATCTAAAACTTGAGACAAATTGCACTTACTCCCTTGACAATATCTATAACTTGTTCCTTCTACTCTTTATGTCTGCATATAGAGAAGGGATCTGGCGCCTACAACTTGTCTCACCCCAATGAGCAAACTGGTAACCCTGAAATACCTCCTGTCTCAGCATCTGAGGATGGTGGAGAAGCTGCAGCGTCAAATAGGAATAAAGATGAGCCGGACGATGATGATCCATTCTCAAAACGGAGGTATTATAATTTAACAAAGGATTTAGCTGCTTGCTTTGAATCTGTGATTTGACATGATTAAAACTTTCTTGTAACTTTATGCAGGAGGATGGATGGTGCGATGGAAATAACTCCACTTGTGAAACCCATCCGAGAGCCTCGGGTTGTTGTTCAAACTCTGAGTGAGGTTGACATACTGGATGATGGTTATAGATGGCGTAAATATGGGCAGAAAGTCGTAAGGGGGAACCCAAATCCCAGGTTTGTACAGCATCAAAGCTTTTACCCAACAAATTCCTTACTTTTTTCTCGAATGAACATACATAAGCATAACTTGCAAGTTCAAGATGGTAGATAGAACAAATTAGTCTTTGTCTTCAGGGGCTAGTAATTTGTTATGTGCATAAAGTGTTGGTTCTTTTTGGAATTGGTTTTGGAATATGGAATCTTAACAGACTCAACATGTGTGCAATGGAGATATTATGTCTCATGATGTTCCTCTGCCTTTTGTAGGAGCTATTACAAATGCACAGCTCCTAATTGCCAAGTGAGAAAACACGTGGAGAGGGCATCACATGACCCAAAAGCTGTTATAACAACATACGAAGGCAAACACGATCACGATGTTCCCACTTCAAAGTCTAGCAGCAATCACGACATCCAGCCTCGGTTCAGACCAGATGAAACAGACACCATCAGCCTCAATCTTGGTGTTGGAATCTCATCTGATGGACCTAACCACGCTTCCAACGAGCATCAGCATCAGAATCAACAACTCGTCAACCAAACTCACCCAAATGGAGTCAATTTCAGGTTTGTTCATGCTAGTCCCATGTCATCCTACTATGCTAGCTTAAATAGCGGTATGAATCAGTACAGCCAGAGAGAAACAAAGAACGAGACTCAGAATGGCGACATCTCGTCCTTGAACAATTCATCTTACCCATATCCGCCCAACATAGGGAGAATACAATCGGGTCCTTAAAAGAAAAAGTAAGCAACAGTATGGTATTCTTCTTAGGTTAGGAATGGGACGAGACCTTGTTCTATATAATTCCTATTTCTTCACAGAGAGCTGATCGTGATATAAACTATTTCCACCATATATATTTGTTTGTTTCACCTGTATTGAGTTCCAAATATGTTTTGTAAAAATACCCAACAAGATGTTAATGCTTTTATTTAAACAAGAATCAGCAATATTGCTACAAACTCTTTCTTCTTCACTGTAATTAGATAGATAAGCTCCACGGAAGAAACTATAGTACTCTACATTTTTGGCATATCTAGCACTGTGCAATTTAATACAAAACCCGTTCCTATGGACAAAAAAGCCTATCCCGACCACGACGGTAATTTAGCTGCGTGGTCCTTAAGCAGACAATTACAACTGTTGCCCGTTTTCCAATAAAAGTTTCAAATCCCTTCGTTTTGTTTTAGTTGTTGTTTAAGGTTTTTTCACACAAATTAAGAAAAACATTTAATTTTCTGTTTTACCCTTTATTAATATATTTTATAAAAATTTCATTGGCCAAAACATTAAAACAGTATGGATAAAACTAGAATTTTCACCAAACATTTGCTTTGAAAACCTAAAACGACAACTATTACAAAACAAAATTTAAATCCTAAAACGACAACTAAACTGAAACGGAGGGAGTAACTTTTAGTTCTAGTTTTGTCAAAAACTCATAATAAGGAGTTATAAATACTTCCACTAGGTGATTTACCATTAGATAACACTAAACTTTGTTCAATTACTAGGTTGTTTAGCCGCGATATTCGCGGCTTGTTGCATAATTGTTATGTTTTGTGTAAACAATAAGAAAGTTTTTAAAAATATAAAAATAAAACAAAATTAGGTATTAAACAATATTTTCAAAAAAAAAAAACATTGTTATTACATATAATTTACATTTTGAATAACAATCCTAAAAGATTACTTTTATCTTTTTCTTTCGTTTTTATATTTCACATACTTTAAGTTATAGAGATAGAGTTTTATTTATTTTACTACTAATTCGAATTACCAATTATATAACTGGTTTTTGGTAAATTTATTTTGCTGGAAAAATAATAATTTTAACTACAACCTTTTAGAAATAGATATACTGATATTTATAAAATTATATGTTAGATCACAAAACTAAATATATTTACTATGATTATATTAAAATAAACGTAAGAAAATAGATGTTTTTTCTTACAAAATTTATTTCATTAAAAGATCACATAATTTTAGAAAATATATACATGAATATGTAAGAAAATAATTAAAACTCCATAGTAGAGAATAAAAATGCTAACATTTCAAAAATAATTTTAAAATAATTTCCATAATTTTGTTTCAATATAAGTATAATTAGAAGAAATTTAAACGACTCTTACGATTTGATATCTTGTATTTGCTCATATTTAGTAAAAACATATTATATATTACAAAATAATTTGTTGATATAACTCACAAATAATTTGTTTTTTTGTTGATATAAACTTCCACATAATAGATCAAACTCATATTATTTTGTAAGTGACAAACTAAATTTGCTTTCTTATAAAATAATATAAACTTCATTCTAAAGTTTTATAAAAAACAAACCCAAGGATAGAAGGTTCTTTTTTTTTGTAATATAATTCCACTCATATTTAATTATAGTTTTTTTTCTACTATATTTCACTCCATTTAAGCATGAGTGCTATGTTTCATTCTAATTTTCTACTAACTAAATATAATTTTCATTAAACATATGATGTCATATTTGTTTAATCTTAAGGACCAAATTTGTTTTTAATTTTTTTTTGTTTTTGAAAAACGCTTAAACCTCAAATTTTAAATAAAATAAATATTATAATAATCTTAATATAATTATCTATTTGATCAAAAAAACTAAATATAATGATACATATATTAAAAATGAGTTACAAAAATTTATTCAAGATAAGAAAGAGGTAAGAAAAAATATTTGATAAATGTATTAGAATAATTTATTTCATTATATATTGCATAACTAAAAAATATATGAATATGTTAGAAAATAATCAAATATCCAACGTAAATAATGGAGATTGATATTTTCAACTTCATTCCTTTGTTGTGTGATGATTAGAATTGATATTTTTAACTTTCCATCACCAATAAACCTAAAAGTTTTGTTATAGCCATCAAAACTTTTATTTTACATATGTTAATTAAAAATTAAAAATATAAAAATAAAAGACGAAATAAGTATAATCTAGTATGATGTTAGGAACAAAACAATTGAGGAAACAATTAGAATCAAATTTAGTTGTTACATAACAAGTAATCTTGTTCTCTTTGACATTTGTATATCTAGTTTATTAAGTGGAAGTTACAATTTCTAATTTCATATTTAGAATTTAGTTTTGTTGGTTTTTGTATTTCTTAGTTTTGTTAGAGACAAATTTATTATATTCTTTTAGATAATTAGTATCCGATAAACGGAAAAAATTGCCGCTATCAAACCAACGAGGCAACGACATTGTAAGTGATTTATTATCATCGTTGTCAAAATAATTTATTATTTTTTTTCACCGGACCTAGAAAATCATCTTCAATCTTTTGCTAAAAGGTGAAATCGAACTATCATGTTAAAAGTCCTGCAAAAATGACAACACCATTTTTACTAGCGGATCCAAACCGTCATCAAAATAGTTAAATATCAAAAACGGTTTGTCAACGTCATTTATTTAGCTCATTCATTTTGGATCATTTTACCTAATTTATGCTTTTTAAAATCAATCATAATTAAACATTTAACGTATTCATCAAATTTCTAAAAAAAAAGGAGTAACAAAGATCAAGAAAGAGTTTTGTTTTAATCATTTTGGTCAATCACATGAACTTCGTTTCCATATTAAACAGAAGTGAAACAATTCCATTTAATTTAATCCGTTATCGCAATTTTTATGTGTCAATTTGTTAATCATGCCATGCAAAAAAGTACCAAAATAAATTTGATTTATCCATTTTAACTTAAAATCATCTTTGTAATTAAAAAAAAAAAACTATATATAGATTTTTCTATAGGTCACAAACATTGAATATGTTAACTTTTTTTGGTTCGTAATTGAAATCCTTGAAGCCGTCATCGATCCACGAGATGCATCAAACATAAAATCTGAACCGTCGATGAACTCTCTTGAAGCAACGAAATTGGACCGCGATGATTCATCCTACACACCTGACGTGGCATTAAACTGTATTTAAAATCCGGTTTTGCGTCCGAATCCTTGAATTTCTCTCTCATAAAAAACGCTATCGAAAAGAAAAACAAAAGCTATTTGTTCTGTTTCGTAAGGAAAAAAAAAACTCAGTGCCGCCGGGTCTTGTGATACTCTGAGGTGAGATTCCAAAGTCTTGTGCTTTAGAACCCTGTGGATACTCTGCTTAAATCTTTGTGAGCTTTTATGTTTCGTGCTTTGGTTTGAAGTCGCATGTTCTTTTGGTTTGGTGTTGTGTTTGTTGAAAGTTGCGATGAGAAGTTAGGGTTTCTCATGCGCTTCTTTTATCTGCGAATTTCGATGTTTTGAGGAGTTATTGTCTTTTTGTTCATCCGATGCTATTAAGTTGTTGTCAAAATGCATGAATTTGACGTTGATTGACTTAATTTCGAGAGATTCAAGTGGATAAAAAGATGGGGTTTTGTTTTCTCTGAATCTGTGTGATGTAAGGTTAGGAGATTTCTCTGAGTTATAGGGTGTTTTTGGGTTTCATTTGTCCATCTGGATCTTTGTTTCTCCAGAATGTAGAAGAAGTGAGCATAAATGATGAACCTTTGAGATTTGAGATTTTGTTTTCTTAATGACTTACTCAAATTTTCATTTAGATCTTCTTTTTCAGATCTAAAGTGGGAGTAAGTGATAATTACGGATCACGCATGAGATCTAAATTAAATTTTGACCAGCCAAGTTTTAGATTTTGTTATCCTGGAGTTAGTTTTCTTTGTTGCATATATGCTAGTGTGAATTCAATGCGTTTAACATGTCCTTTATGTGATGTTGTTAAGTTTCTTTATAGAGAGAGCATTAATTTCTGCTATCGTAGCAATATTAATCCTCTAAACTGATTTCTCATGCACAGCCTTTGATTACAACAAGAAGTGTTTTTGGTGGAAGGATCTACTGTTTTTTAATATGGGGGAAGATACACAGGCAACCATTGAGCCAACCGCAAACAAGACTACTTCTCTTGAAAGGCCATCAGAGGCAATGGCTGGAAAAAAGGAGGAGGAGAATGCTGAGGGAAAGGAAACACAAGAACTTACGAAAGATGAGGATATTGCTGAACCAGAAAAAATGGAGATAGATGCTGAGATAAAGAAAGATGAAGAAAAATGTGAGACGGAAGAGAAAGTGTCAGAAATTAAGAAAAAGGAAGACAATGCTGAGACTCAAAAAATTGAAGATAAGGTTGAGGTCACCAAAGATGAGGGACAAGCAGAGGCTACCAACATGGATGAAGATGCTGATGGAAAGAAAGAGCAAACTGGTGATGGTGTTTCAGTGGAAGATACCGTAATGGAGGAAAACGTGGAATCTAAAGACAATAACAATGCCAAAGATGATGAAAAGCAAGAGACAAATAGTACTGAGGCGGACCACAAAAATGCTGGGAAGGAGGACATAGAAAATGAAGGTGAAAAAGCAAATGGAACAAAAGATGGCAATACAGGAGACATCAGAGAGGAAGGGACACTGGTAGATAAAGACAAAGGGACAGACAGGGATGAAAAAGTGGAGAATGTGGATGACAATGAAGAAGTGGAGAATGTTGAAGAAGGAAAAGAGAAGGAAGATACGGATGTAAATAAAACAAAGGAAGTTGAGGCGGCAAAGGCTGAGGTGGATGAGGCAAAGGTAGAAGATGAAAAAGAAGGGAGTGATGATGAGAACAACAATGAAGAGGAGAGAAATGATGATAAAGAAGATGAAAATGTAGAGAAGGAAGATGAAAAAGAAGACAGCAAGGGTTCTAAAAAGCGTGGGAAAGGCAAGAGTTCTGGAGGAAAGGTTCGCGAGAGGACAAAAAACGAGGAAGTAAAAAAGGAAGCAGAGCCTAGGACTCCTTTCTCTGATCGCCCTGTGCGTGAGCGGAAATCTGTTGAGAGGCTTGTTGCATTGATTGATAAAGACTCTTCGAGAGAATTCCATATTGAAAAGGTTTGCCAATACTTTCCTGAAATGTGTAGAAC